ACTTGTTCAGGTTCTAAGTACTTGATTTTAGAAAGATGATATGGCACTACATTTTCAGTATCTTTCTTGTCTTTGATTTATAAATCAAATTATTACAATAGCGGAATCCATATTAAAAGTATGGGCTTAGCGTCCTTCTTGTTCAACAAGTATGTAATTATAGCATAATCAGTATAGACAATTATTTTGGCCCCTACTAAATAAGAGCGAAACTTATCTAAAGTGAACACAACACCAAGGAGTTCTTTCTCTGTGATAGCATAGTTCATCTACGCACTGTCCAAGGTTCTACTCGCATAGTAGATCGCACGAAGTTTTTTATCTTCTCGGTGTCATAAGATAGCGCCTACAACATAGCCACTAGCATCTCACATTATTTAAAATGGTTTACTCCAATCTGGTGGTTTCATAATGGGTAAGAGTGTTTTTCATATGTTCAAACACTTTCAGAGAGTTGTCATCAAATATAAATTCATCCTTTTTCATCAGTAAACCAGTCAGTGGTTTGGTTATCTTAGAGAAATCTTTAATGAATCACCGATAAAAACCAACATGTCCTAGAAAAGTTAAAACTTCTCTAAAAAATTTCGGAGGTTGAAGATTTTCTATAACTTCTATTTTTGCTTTATCCACTTCAATTCCTCTATCGGATATAATATATCCATGGACAATCCCTTCTCGGACCATGAAATGACATTTTTCCCATTTATGCGCTAAATTAACTTTAACGCGTCGTTCTAATACCTTTTCCAAATTCGAGAGACACCCTTCAAAACATTGTCCACAAACAGAGAAGTCATCCATAAACACTTCCATTATGTTATCTATAAAATCAGCAAATATGGCCATCATGCATCTCTGAAAAGTTGCATGAGCGTTACACAGTCTAACCGACATTCATCGATTGGAAAATGTACCATAAGGGCAAGTAAATGTAGTCTTTTCTTGGTCATTGGGATGAATGGTGTAATACGACGGGATAGCTGAATTGGTTTTCATTTTATTGCAAATGTTGCGGATAGCAAGAGTCGCCATCGGATTTTCTTTTATCCAACAAGGAAATGGTGAAAAGAACAAGAAAGACTTGTGAGATTTATTGAGTTCAGGAGGTAAGTTATGAAAATGGAAGGTTTTAGAACCCTTTTCATCTATAGTTATCTATGGTCTCTTAATCGTTATCTCATCTTGGAAATGCTTTCTGAATGCGTGTTTGAAAAATATTTAGAAATGCCAGTAGTAAGGAAACTTTGTAATGATTCTTGAGAATGCGTACAAAGTGTTTGTTTGAAAATATTTTTGAAAGTGTTTGTGTAAAAAAAGATGTTTTTGTTTGGTTTGTGAGCAAGTGATTAGGAGCTAGCTACCTACTCAATGTCTTTTTGTTCTTTTCCTTCTACTTTAGATAGTGTTATCCTACCATTAGTTAGTAGGAAGCCCTATCGTTAGATGTGAAGGGACAGGCGTCAGTCATCGTACAATCATTGAAGGCAACTTGTAGAGACGCTTTAGAAGTTTTCGTTAAGGGACTAGATCATTTACCGAAGGTAACATTCGAAAGGGTCATCGAGGGACTACGATCTTTTCAACCGAGGGTCTTTGCTAAAGTGTCCACACATTCGAGGGACATGACTGTGTTTTGTTCCGAAGGCAACAAGGGAGGTTACCCTAGAGGTGCGAGTGTGCGAGTGTGTTTAATTCAGTTTATTTATATTGCATTATGGTTTTGCTATCATTTGCTTTTAATCTTGCCATATAATCCTATTAGCTAACAGTAATATATACGAAGCATGACAATATAAGTGCATAAAAGTAAAATCCTACGCTATTACCAGGCTTCGGGAACGAGGGTACAAATAATAAAATACGGGAAAAGATTAAAATCCTAATTATCTATTACAAACCGTAAGAAATTACAATAATCAAAAAAGGCGAAAATAATAAAATACACGAAGCGATAAAAAGGAAAAGGGAAAGGAAATTGCTTTGGTGATTTTTAATAGAAAAGATTTGATGATTAACCTAATACCTAAATTTATTTTAATTAATTAAAAACCTAAAAACCCTAATTAATTTTAATTTGAAAAAAAGAAGAAAGTTTATTAATTAACACAAAAAAAACTAAACCCTAATGTTGATTAGGGTTTGTGAGAAAATTAATTGGTAAAAAATTGGTTTAACTTGATGACTTTAGGGTTTTATAAGTGAAAATAGTAAGAAAATAGGGTTTAAAAAAAGTTACCAGGGCTGGGCGTTGAACCCACACCATCTACCCTTTCAATCAACACCTTCACCACCAGGCCATGCGCGCGCCTATGTCAAAGGACAGAAGCCAATATATTTTGTACTCAACACTGCACAATATGTGAAATTATGAAAAAAGCAGCAAAAGGCAGGGATCAAACCCACGCCTTGATAGGGTAATGTCTTACATTCGTTAATTTAAATAAAACAAAATATATATAATATAAAAAAATTTCCTGAACTGGAGAGGCGTCGGAGCCCTAGCTCCGGTCGTCATCTCCGGTAGCCTCCTTCTATCAAACTTGTAAAATAGCCAAAATCAGTAATCTAAGGGAACCCTACCCCCCTAAATAAGGTCTGTGATTTCAATGAGATGATTATTTTGGCCTGAATTGTAAGGGATCTTGAGCTACAGTGAAAACTGCATGGATCAGCGTAGTTATGGTGTTTTACGATTTGGACAGCATGGGACCTCTATGATGGTTCTATCCTGCACTATCAAGCCTCAGAAACACAATGACATCATTGGTATATCTAAAAGCAAACGAAACACTAAAAAAATATAATTTTGCAAAAGTATGAGATCGGAGATGTATGCGATGGTGTTTCATGCGTTTTGGATCATCAAACTTGGTCCATTTTTACTCTGTGTGATTGCTGGGAGTGAAAGGAGTGGCTAGTTTTCCTTGGAAATGGTTGTGATAAGGATTTAAAGGTTGCCCTAAACTTGAACAATTTTGATTTTTTTGAAGGTGATTCTTGGGTAAGGGGTTGGTGGCCTTTTATGTCTGAATGAGTGTGGTTAAATAACATGGCATTAGGTCAAAGATATGGGCTTAGACCTTTGTTGACAAGCCTTTCATTTTTGTCTTATTTAATTTTGAATTATTATAAAATAAATCAAAAATAATTAAAATAAAATAGATCAAGGGGTATATGGACAAGATCTAAGGTGTATAAGGAGTGTGTAATACGGTGTGATAACTGACTTGGGTGTTTTGCATTTCATCGTAAATGTTGTGGATAGCAAGAGTCGCCACCGACTTTTCTTTTATCCAATAAAGGAAAGGGTGAAAAGAATAGGAAAAACCTTTTGAGAATTTTCTTGAGTTTGGGGGGTAGGTTATGAAAAGGGAAGGTGTTAGCACCATTTTCATCCATAGTTATCTACGCTCTTGGTTGCTATCTCACTTTTGAAATGCTTTTGTGAATGTGTTTGTTTTGAAAATATTTTGAAAAGTGCCATCGTTGGGAAAACTTTATGATGATTCTAGTCTCTATAAGAATGCATACAAAGTGTTGACTTTGAAAATATTTCAAGAAAATTGTATGTGTTGAAAGTTGTTTGTTTTTAAATGTTGTGAGCAAGAAACTACGAATGTTCTACCTACTCAAAAGAAGTCTTTGTTCTTTTCCTCCTCCTTTAGATATTGTTATCTTACCATTGATTGGTAAGAATCCATATCATTGGATGTGAAGAGATATGCGTGGGTTATCGTACAGTCATAGAAGGAAACTTATAAGACGTTTTAGCAATTATCATAAGGGACTAAGATCATTTATCGAAGGCAACATCGAAGGGTCATCGAGGGAATACAATCTTTTAACTGAGGATCTTTGCTAAAGTGTCCCACATTCGAGGGACATGACTGTATTTTTTCGAAGGCAACAAGTGAGTTCACCCTAGAGGTGCGTGTGTGAAAAGTGATTTGTTTTCAGTTAAATTGTCTTGATTACGGTTATCTAGTGATCAATTTTAAATCTTGCCATGCACGCCTAATTACTATACAATATAAAGGAAAATAATAAATTGCGGAAATTAAAGTTCTATGCTATTACAAAGCTTCGGGAATGAGGGTACAAATTTATGAATGGGGATGAAATAAAAGCCTAATTAAACTATTACAAACCGTAAATAGTTACAATAATCGAAAGAATGCAAAAATAGTAAATTACACGAAAAAAGACAAGGGAAATTGTTTTGTGAATTTATCAAATAAGGAAATTAAATAAAAAGCTATGAAAATTCGAAAATTAAAATTCTAAATAATATTTTTGGTTTTTTGTTTCTGAGAAAATTCGAAAAGAAAATAAAGATCTATTATATTATTTTATGGAATTTTTATCATGTAGAAACTAAACGATTTAAAAGAAAGTTAACTAAACAATAAAATATTAATTAACAAAATTATTCACAAAGTCCTAAACTAAATCAATTAAAAAAATTAATTAATTTAAAAACTATATTTTTATTTAATTGAATTTTAAAATCTAAACAAAAGATTAAGAAAATTATTGAAACAAGATAAAATGGGGGTTTGAAGTAGAATTAAGGGAGATGGATGGCCTAAGGGTCTGAGGCCCGATAGCTATATTTTTTTTGTCCAATGCTTCAACCGCTGCACCACGCTGCTTTATTTGTTATTACGGTACTCCCATTAATATAAAAAGCTAAGAAATAATTAAATTAGGAAAAAAATGGTGGGCCTGGGCCGAACCGGGTCGACCCAAGGTCCACCCCTTTTCTTCAAATTAGTAAAAGGGTTTGTAAATCCTAAAACAAATGTGGGAAAGAGGCAGCGCCTCTTTTCAAACAGAGACAACGCTCTTCATCTCTTTCAAACTCCAAATAAAAAATCACAATCGCATCTAGGAAATGATACAAACAAATCAACATGATGAAACTGTATTACTTACCGGATCAAAGAGATTCAAGGGAGGGCTTACGATTTCACGGTGATTCATAGGTTGATGCGGCGATGGGAGAAGTCCGACGAAAGGTGCGGCTGTGGGAGGCAAGGATGGAGGAGTTTGGCAGTGGATCTACTTCCGGTGGTGTCAGTGTTGCTAACTTGATTTGCGCGGGGCTATGTTTGTCTTCTTCTTTTTGATCTTTTCTTTGCTTTGAGTATTATTGTTTGATGTTTGAAGTTTTTGCAGGTTATTTTGCAACTATTGGTGTGAGGTTGTTATTGTTTTTGTTGGTACGAAGGTAGCAGCTGGGAGTTTCTCAAATTTTTTTATTTCTTATGTGATTCTCGTGTGCGTTAGTTTACCGTGCAGTTAAGGTCTGTAAAATTGGTGGTTAAGAATTGGAGATGGTATAGAGATATAGAAGGTTTGATTTAGTTTTTTTACATGGATTTGATAACAGAAGTTTTGGTAAGGTAATTGATGTCTGAGAGAAACAGTTGGAGAGTGTATATATAGATGAGAAAGGGTGTAAACTACGGGGGGGGGGGGGGGGGGGGGGGGGATTGATAAATTTGAACTGTTTTGGCTATTGTTTTATTTCTTTTTTGAATCGGGTTTTTGCTTTGCTAATTCTATGCAATCTTTGTGCATGTTTGGACTGTTTAAGACAGGTTTTGGAGTAGCAACACAAGGGCTTTGATGCATGATTTATGCAACAGTGACAGGGCTGTTTTTTGTAGGGCTTTTGGACTGTATATGAGGTTCTTTTATGAAGGATTTGAGAGCAGGGCAACAACTATTAGTGCAGGGCTAGACAACAATATGTTGGACTGATTTTGGACATGGAGGGTTAGGTTTAGGATCGGTTTAGGAAGATTATGGTTTGAGAATTTGTATTTTTTTTCTTGTATTTGGAACCAAAATTGTAAATTTGGAACTTTGATTAGAAAATTGATATGAGAAACTTGAATTATGAATGAACGAGATTTGGATGAAATTAAATGAAATGGTGTCTTTGCTTGAAAAACTTGAATGGTTTTGAAACATGAATATCTTGAAAGAATTGAAGCATGGAATTTGACATGCTTGAATATAGATGAAAAAAAATCACGAACTTTAAATTAGCTTTGTCAACTTGATTTGGTTAATGAGAATTGTAACTTTAGAGAATCCATGAATCAAAGCACAACTTTATCATGTTTTAATTCCAATGAGGCTCGAATATTTAAGTGAACTCGTCTTTGATACCTTAAATCCAAAATAATTCACGCGAGTGAACCATAGAAAATTTGGATGAAACCTGTGATATCGCGTAATGCTTTGCTAACTACAGTTGAAATCAAAGACATTATTCAAATGAATCCTCAAATCAACTTCACCAAGATCCTAAATAAATTTCCAACATGGTGACTTGTATTATAAGCAATATCTTGTTCGAAATTAACATGAATCTCCGAACTCAACATCTTTTTTCCATGAACAATCTCATCATGAGAATCATAGTCCTGAGAAAACAATTATGGCATGAGTTGAAATTAGAAGTTAAAAATATTCTAAATCAAGAGAATGACCTATGACAATTCGATAACTTTCAAGGTCTTCTAAACACAATTTTCCTTTGATCCTTGAAGATAAATTGTAGATGACATCACTTATGACAATGTGAAAAGATAATTGTCTCAATATCTTGAAAATTAAGGAAATTATGATTCTTGGAAGTCAGACAACAGTTACTTGAGATTAGGTCAAAGTCCAGAAAGTGACCTCTAAAATATTCGAATTTTTGATGATCTTTTGCACATAATCGGCTCTTGACTTGTAAAGAAAATTTGGAGATGAAGTCAAAGAGAGTCATACGCAAAAAGAACCATTCAAAAATATTGAATAATGAAGAAGTTACAATCGTTTGAACTTGATTTTGAAAATGTTGACTTTTTGGTCAATATAGTTGATTTTCGATCATCTCCGCAATTGACTGAGCAAACTTGTGATGCAAGGTATGAAATTTGATATGAACATTCTTAAATACATACGAAGCACCATGAAAGACACCTTAGACCTTGGAAACTCGGTCTTCCTTGAGAAATACAAAACCCTAGTTATGGACCCAATGTTTAGGAGGAGAATTTTTCTGATCAATTCTTGAGCCACCTTGAGCATTTGAGTAACCCTAGGAGAAAATCTTGAATGAAAAATGGGAGGGAAAATTTTGGGGTACAACAGCTGCCCCTGTTCAATCTTCTTAAACTTGAAAAGTTAGATTGGCATGTCCGCCATTTATGACTTTAAGTTAGAAGATGATTGAACACTTAAGTGCCCATAAATTTGCACTCGCATCAAGAAGTAACATTGTCGGTTGATTATACCGGGAATGGGCTTAAAGATGCCATTTGGAGAGGTGACAGAGAGTTGTCAAAGATCGGCTTATAGATGCCAACCAGGATAGTGACAAAATATTGGTCGGAGATTGGCTTATAGATGCCATCCATAGGTGATGAAGAGTCGTCATAATGAGTCTACGCTCGACTGTATCTGAAGAAGTATCAGAATAAATCTATGTTTGATTTAAACCGAGTCCAGAAAAATCTACTAGGATAAGTATCAGAATAAATCTTTGGTTGATTTAATCTGAGCCAGAAGAAGTATCTACGGGAAGAAGTATCAGGATAAATGTTTGGTCGATTTAAACTGAGCTAGAAAATGTTTTTTTGTCCATATTTAACTAGGAGAAGTATCAAAATAAATCTTTGGTTGATTTAAACTAAGCCAGAAAAAGTATCTACTAGGAGAAGTATCAGACTAAATTTTTTAGTCGATTTAAATTGAGCCAGAAGATGTCTGTGTCTGTCTTTAACAGGATACGAATTAGTATAAATCCTAGGGTATATTTTACTGAACCAAAGAAAGTCTCTACCGGAAACGAATCAGGATAAATCAATGGTCGATTTAATCTGAACCAGCAGAGGTCTTGAATTATCTTTAACTGGATACAAATCAGAATAAATCTTAGGGTTGATTTAACTGAACCAGAGAAAGTGTCTACCAGAAATGAATCAGGATAAATCATTGGTCAATTTAAACTGAACCAACAGAGGTCTTGAAATATCTTTAGCTGGATACGAATTAGAATAAATCTTAGGGTCGATTTAACTGAACGAGAGAAAGTGTCTAATGGAAACGAATTAGGATAAATCATTGGTCGATTTAAACTGAACCAACAGAGGTCTTGAATTATCTTTAACTGGATACGAATCAGAATAAATCTTAGGGTCGATTTCACTAAACCAGAGAAAGTGTCTACTGGAAATGAATCAGGATAAATCATTGGTCGATTTAAAATGAACCAGTAAAGGTCTTGAATTATATTTAACTGGATACGAATCAGAATAAATCTTAAGGTCAATTTAACTGAACCAGAGAAAGTGTCTACCAGAAACGAATCAGGATAAATCATTGGTTGATTTAAAATGAACCAGCAGAGATCTTGAATGGTCTTATTCGTCGTTAATGATATTCATTTGTTGATCGATCTTTCCTGAAGAGGTAAAGAGTTAGTCGTATGAAATGTCATGATGTATGAAATACATTGCGTAATGATGTTCTCAAAATAAATGAGATTGTGCTACATGCGTTTCGTATGCACATGTCATTATGTATGAATGTTGTTGAAATGTATTTTTGTATGGGAAAATAAATCCATGACTATTGCTGAGAATGAAGAGTATGGGTATCATCAACTTTGTCTAGAATACTTCCGTTGGGGATTCCTGTTTTCTGTTTGAGGAAACTCTGATGGGGATGTTGATTTCTGTTTGGGGAGAAGTTCAGGAGCCTTAGTTGTTCGTTACTCTACTGGGGATAAAAGAGATGATTAAACTTCTGAATTGTCTGGGGAGAGTAAAGTTGACTGGTTTTCTGGTTGAACTCCGGGTTTTGCAGCAACTTTCTGGGGAAAATGGAAATTCTACTAGGGAAGAGGAGTTTTGTCAGTGATTTGCGGTAGTCTAAGGAATAGACTCAAGCTGGGGAGATTGTAATCCGTTGGGGAAATAAACCATGTTGAGGAAAGTATTCTGGCGACCTTACTGGGTAAATTAATTCTTTTGGGGAAGAACTTTTGCAAGGTTTCTTTTCCAGTTTTGGAAGAACAAACTCGGCTGGGGAAGAGAATTTCCAGGAGATGTACTGATTGGAAATTCGTAAGGAAATTGTGAGGAATATATGAATTTATGAGAATTAATCTGTGGGGATAATCTCATAGAACTGGCCCTGTGGGGTTTTATGGACAGCTTGAGTGTCATCCAAACTCCTAGAATCTGGAGTAAATGCTTATTATTGTTACCATGTGTATATTTGTTAATAGTTAATCATGTTCATATGCACATGTTCATTCAATTTTAGTCGTTGGACGTTTTTGCATTCAAAACGAAAAAACAAAAAGTTTTCACTTCCAAATGTATTTGTATTGATAAGTTGCCTATAAATAGGAAATTTTGTACAAAGAGACAGAAATCCGAGTAAGAGGAAATCGCCGTGAAATGAAAGGAGTATAAAGTGAAAACAAATATATATAGCCATGTGGAAGTGATCTCATTGGGTTCCAACTCTGCCATTTCCCTTATGTCTTCGAGCATCTCATCACTTGTCGTCGGAAGAAGCCGATTGAATTGATCTTGTACCATTTGAACTTTTGACCTTGGTAATAAAGCTAGCTATAGTAATCCAACGGGACATAGTCGTAAGCTTTAATCCCTAACCTTTTCCTGGACCGCCCTTTCGGGTTTTCAGTCCACCAGGATACCCTTTTTTTCCCAAGCCGACCTTTCAAGATTTTGACTTGTCAGGTGTACAATCTTTTGTATATATCCCTGATTTTTTCCCAAACCCTTTTGGTTCACCGAGATGCCCTTATTTTTTCCTTGGTATTTCAACCTAGAGGGTCATTCTTATGCGTAGTATTTTTTGACTATGTCCGTCTTGACAGGGTGCGGGAAATCTTCGTCGTCCATAGTGGTTAGCATCATAGCACCGCCAGAGAATACTTTCTTAACAACAAATGGCCCTTCTTAAGTGGGAGTCCATTTGCCTCTGGGATCGCCTTGTGGTAGAATGATATGCTTTATTACTAAGTCGCCAGCCTGGTATACTCGATATTTGATCTTCTTGTTGAATGCCTTAATCATACGTTTTTGATACACTTAACCATGACAGACAACCGCCATCCTCTTTTTGTCAATCAAGTTCAACTGATCCAACCTAGTCTGAATCCATTCGTCTTCGTCTAAGTTTGCATCTTTCACAATCCTTAGAGAAGGAATCTGAACTTCGACAGGCAGGACAACTTCCATGCCATAGAATAAAGAGAACAGGGTTTCCCTAGTTGATGTTCGCGCCGACATACGGTAGCCATGAAGAGAAAATGGTAACATCTTATACTAGTCTTTGTAGGTCACCACCATCTTTTGCACAATCTTCTTTATATTCTTGTTGGCAGCTTCAACTGCACCATTCATCTTTGGCCTGTATGGAGAAGAGTTGTGATGCTTGATATTGAACTGCGTGCATAGTTCAGTGATCATGGCTGTTGTACCCCAAAATTTTCCCTCTCACTTATCAAGAATTTTCTTACAAGATCTCCTTGGGCTCAAGACTGCACTAGGGTTTGATCAGCTCACGACACCTCCTTATGCACTGATGACCAAAATTAGGGTTTGAGTTTGCACAAGGATTTTTGGACTATCAATGCTTCATATGACTTTCATGGACCATTATGGACCCCCAAGATTACTCATGTCAAGTTTCAAGCCTTGGATCACACTTTTGATCAGTCAATT